CGGCCCCGCGGTAGGGTGGTGGGCGAGGCCGGCCGGCCCCGACCCTCGGCGGGGAGAGCCCCCGGCACAGCCCGGCCGTGCGGGTGTCGCGTAACCGTGGGACAGGGCCGTCCCCGGCAGCGGGTGGGGCTTGCCGGTGTAGAGGCTCCTTACCCACTCGTATGCAGGCATGCCTGTGCAGACCCCCCCAAACCTACGTAGGTCTGTGTCGATATTCCTCTTCGGCAGCCGGGGGACCTGATCGAAAAGCGCCGTAACTCCTAAATGCCGAAGTGGGGCTTCGCACCCGCAACGTTAACTGTCTTTGCGCATCCTCGGGAGCGGACATCCATGGTTTGTATCGGTATGAAAAATTTCAGGAGACCTGCAGTAACTTCGAGGTTTCCTTGTGGCTGTATGCAGCGTTATTCCACAAAAAATGGATGCACTGCTTCACAGCCTCAGTATAGGAAGCGCTACACTTGCCACATGCTCGAGTCACATACGTGATGTGCCGCTTGCGGGTGTGGAAGGATTGGTGCATTCCGAACTATCCGAAGGATGAAACGAGCGTTGCATTGTCCCGGTTCCTGCGGATCCCTTGAGATGCATGCAACATTTTGTAACACGCGCGTGTTAGGTGTGATAAATGTGATTTCAGTACATGCTGCTGCGACCATATTTCGAAATAATACTCCAAACTCAGTTATTAAATTAACAGATCTAACGAGGTAATGTCTGTCTTTCAGGCCACATGGTGGATCAATGAGGCATTTGTCTTTTTCCTCTATCCATAAAAAAGCTCCATGAAATTAATCCCTCCACTGAAATCGATATTGGTTCTGTAGCTCACTGCCATAGAGGGTGCTGCTATACGTGCGCCTAGTTCACGGTTTGAATTGAAAACTGGTCCTTATGAGTTTAAATTTCCATTTTTTTGGTTATATGTGGTGCTTAGCTGTGTTCAGGTTTTCGAGCAACGATTTATGTTCTTAAATGCAGAGCCGATGACGTACGTCGCTCCTTGTTGTTCCTTAGTGACTTCAATAAATACGAAGTTGTGAATGAACGTCGCTATCAGAATAGCTTTCCCGGCGCTTAAAAATATCCGAGTAAAGTAGTACGAAGTGCCAGTAGTTTCTCATGACAATGTTCCTGCTGAGGAGTGCTGAAATCAGATTTTTTCACAGTGCTCTGATTTCTCCTGCGAACTATTTATACCTCCTCACAGGTGATGTTGTAAAACCATGTGCCCTTTAAACAATTCACCAAGGAAAGCCGCAGCGATATCGGCCTGGCCTTTGGGCGGGTGCGAGCGGTGCCCTCCGGCTGCTCGCCCCAGCCCTGGGCCAGCAGAACCCACCCCCGGTGCCTGGGCCTGGCTGCCCCTTCCCCGCCGAGCCGTACGCTGCAGGCCCCCGCCCCGGCGAAGGCGCTTAAGCCTGGGCGAAGCGAAAACAGCAAGGGAAAGGTTCGAGAGGAGCTTAGAGAAAGGAGTAAAGCGCCCGGCTCGCCCCCGTGCCGCCCAGGCCGCCGCCCTCGCCCCGGGAGACGCCGCTCTGGGCCCGGGTTGGGGCGCGTCCCGGGTGGGCTCCCTCGGCCGGGGGCTGCGGTTCTCGGCGCCGCCGCCA